CCATATTTCTGTTTGTTTGTGACAGTAACCTCTGCTGACTTAAAGAAATGGTAAACAAGAAAGTGAGGAGATGCAAAGCAAAAAAAACAGACAAAAAAACCTCCCCTGAACAAAACGTTGTACTGTTTATTTCCTGTTTTTGCTCAGACTGTTTGATAACCACAAAAATGTAACCATAAGAGTATCAGACCTTACCCGATTTAAATTTGGACGCTCACTTTCAACTATGTGCAGTTTTAATGCAGGCTGGAGGTCATCTTGACGGACACTTTAATTGAATTAGATTTTTCTCTGCTTATGAAAGTGGCTGTGATAATTATTTCAGAAGAAATCTAATGCTTTAATAATGGATTATTTTCATTAGAGCACTGCCATAAACAGATCTTCAGGGCTGATGTGCCCGTCTCCTCTCCAACCTCTCACCTCTTAAAGATAAGAACAGAGTCAGCATTAGCTCAAAGTAGATTAGTTAGACAATTGTAATTGAAGTGATTTGATTATTATTTGATTCTTATTATCGTTTCATTCTTCTTTTGCTTTTGTCCTGCTACATTGCTTTAAAAAAATTGCTGCAATTAAAATTTTCATTTGTGAAAAAAAATTCTTATTTTCTCTCACCATTTATGAAACAGTAAGGGTAAAAATCTGAACTTAATTTGTCACAATCCAGAGGGGATATTTCGAAGGTTTCCCTTGTGGAAAGAAAAGTATAGTTTGAGAAGATGGGATCTATAAGGTCCTCCGAAATGAGCAGACACAGAGACTGGAGAAACATTTTCCATATCACCACAATCTATCTCCCTCAACAAAGAAGCTTAAGAGTGGATTATAATAATAGAATTGAGGATTATGTCATTCCTTTTCTAAAATCAGTTTTGCTTTTGTTTTCTCTAAGTTGCTTTAATACAATCTTCTTAACAAAAAAGTCTAAATAATGAACATTCCTTTTTTGCAAGTCCTTAGAAAGCATAATAAATACCCAAAACACTTTGGTCCTTCAAATGAACAGGTACAAAAAAGAAACCAAACACATCAGACATCGCAATAAAGCTATTGCCAAATAAAGGTAACCTGAAGAACAGTGAAATCGAGATGATTTACAAGGATCTTCTAAGAAGATCCTTGTAAAGGCAAGATCAAAGTAGCACGGAGGGAGGTTAGCCAACTAACGGAGTTGCAGAAAGGTGCGACAAAGAAGGTGCATAAGAAATACAGCAAGCTGTCCATACCTGAGGCCTTGGAAACTGCCAAGCAAAGACTCACAGCCTTGGCCAGCCGCTTGAGGAGGTACACCAGAGAGATAGAAGGCAGGAGAATAAACCAGCTGTTCTCCACAGAACCAGCAAAGGTGTACTCTCAGTGGCAAGGGAACAATAAGAGAACAGCACCACCAAGGCTGGAGACGGAGCAATACTGGAAGAGCATATGGGAGAAGGACGCAACCCATAACGGCAATGCTCAGTGGCTAGTGGATCTGAGGGCAGACCACAGCGACCTCCCTGAACAGGGTCCAGTAACCATCACAGTGGCAGATATCCAAGAAAGGGTCTCCAGTATGAAGAGTTGGACAGCACCAGGGCCCGACATGGTTCACGCCTACTGGCTGAAGAAGCTGACTGCACTCCACGAGCGTCTGGCAGCACAAATGAACCAGCTGCTAGTTAACGAGAGACACCCGGAATGGCTAACCGAAGGCCGGACGGTCCTGATCCCCAAGGACCCCAAGAAGGGACCGGTCCCCTCCAACTACCGACCAATAACCTGCCTCAGTACTACATGGAAGCTCCTGTCAGGCATCATATCGGCTAAGATGAACAGGCACATGGGTCAATACATGAGCGGGACACAGAAAGGAATTGGCAAGAATACCAGAGGCGCAAAACACCAGCTACTGGTAGACAGAACAGTCAGCCGAGACTGCAAGACCAGACTGACCAACCTGTGCACTGCCTGGATTGATTACAAGAAGGCCTATGACTCAATGCCCCACAGCTGGATACTGGAATGCCTAGAATTGTACAAGATCAATGGGACCCTAAGAGCCTTCATCAGGAACTCAATGGGGATGTGGCGTACAACACTAGAGGCCAACTCCAAGCCCATAGCACAAGTCACCATCAAGTGCGGGATCTACCAAGGAGATGCTCTGTCCCCACTGCTGTTCTGCATAGGCCTGAACCCCCTCATGAGATCATAACGCAATAGAGAGGAAGGAGTCAGAACTGAGGGGATGAACACAGAAGGCACATTGCAGACATAGAGAAAGCACAGTAGGTATGCTGCTGTGGGGTAGCTGCAGTTGTCGATGCTTCGTAGATATGGACCTAGTGAAGTAGGTGCTGTGTGTGTGGTTGTGTGTGTGTGGTACTGCTGATCAAAGGGTCATATAACATGAAAGCACAAAAGCAAACATCCTTGGTCAGGAAGAGGGTAGTCTCCCCCTCACCCTAGATGGTTCACCCTAGATAACACGGTGAGGAAGTCCAGCAGTTCATCTAAACAAAAAGCACTTAGACTAGAACAGACGTAGCTACGTTAATCCTACCGTAAAACAATAAACAAGGTACGACCTCTAAGCATATATAAGTAGATATTTCTAAGCATAAATGACAATCAACAATACAAAACATAACAGGGACAAATATGTTGATAAGCTATATAATGGTGTAAATGGCGAGCAAGCAGTACTTTCAATGGAAAGCCAAGGAGGCGCTTTCTCAGGGGGTAAGAACCAATGTGCCAAATGCCGAAGAGAAAAAGCATAATGATATAAAAGTAGATTAGGCATCCCTAACCCACCTCTGTCCACTGGTTTCTGCAGTTTTCTCAGATTCAATCTAGGCTTTTTATTATTCCATATAAATGACTTACAGAGCTGGTCAAACTGTTTGGTGTATTTCAAAGGAACATGGATTGGTAGAGCCTGCAACAAATAATTGAACTTAGGTGTACATACCATTTTGATTACGTTTACCTTTCCCCACATTGAGAGATACATCTGAGACCAACGATCAATATTAATTTTCATATCGCTGAGTAAAGGTTCAAAATTTATCTTTATCAGGTCTGACAAATGAGGCGGGAAGGTGATGCCTAAATACTTAATGCCCTTCTGAGGCCAGGAAAACATACCGGTTTGAAAAAGTGACCTAGGACAATAACTAGTTAACGGAAGGGCCTCTGATTTGGTCCAATTCACCTTATAACCAGAAATAGCTGAAAACGTATTTATTATTGCCTGCAAGGAGTTTAAAGACTTTTCTGGGTCTGATATAAAAAGCAAAATGTCATCGGCGTACAACATCAGTTTATGACAGTCTCTCCCTATACTGACACCTGGAAAATTGGGCTCCCTACGAATAGCCACTGCCAGCGGCTCAAGGGCCAGAGCAAAAAGAAGTGGGGAGAGGGGATCCCCCTGCCTGGTTCCTCTACCTAGTTCAAAAGAAGGCCCTATTATTCCATTTGTGAGTACTGATGCCTTGGGGTGTACATATATAAGCTGAATCCAATTAATAAAGCTTTTGGTAAAACCGAAACACTCTAAAGTAGCGAATAAATATCTCCACTCGACTCTGTCGAATGCCTTTTCGGCATCCAGCGAAATCGCAGCTATGGGAGAATGGCTGTCCTGAACCGCCCACATAATGTCAATTAACCTCCTAATATTATCAGCTGAAGAGCGTGAGCGTGGAAGTGAGCCGGGGCTCACAGGCAGACGGCCGGCACACAGGACCATGCAGCGTACCAGCCTCTGTTGGACGAGGACGAAGCGGATAGCGTGCCGCCCTCGGGTGTGGCAGGACCCCCGCGCACCTCGACTTCCGTCTCCAGCTTGGCAGGTCTCGCTGGTGCACCAACCTCCAGCTCACCCCGAGCCGCGTGCTGTCCACCCTTACAGTAATCACACGGTTGCTGTAACAGTACATACAATGGCTGCAACTCTCCTGCTACTAATGAAATTAGTTTGCTAATAGCAACAGGGATGAGTCAGTTAGTCAGTTGGGCTTGTGAATCATGAGTCAGTAAAGTGATTCTTGAGTACTGAACGATTCGTTCATGATTCGCACATCAATACACTCCACCACACCTGAGTGATAAGGTCCAAGGGCGTGTCCAACTCTCGCCCATACAGCATCATGGACGGGCTCAGGCCTGTGCTCTCGTGAGGCGCAGTGCGCAGTGCAAAACAGATCTGGGGAAGATACTTGTCCCAAGAGGTGTGTTTATCCCCAACATAGGCTCGAATGGCCGTTTTCAAAGTGCGATTTACACGCTCAGTTGCATTCGTTTGAGGATGGTATGCAGTTGTTAGTCTGTGTTCAGTCCCAAGAGTCAACAAAACATGCTCAAAGAGTTCACTGACGAAAGGCGTTCCCCTATCAGAAATAAGGTGGGAGGGAGAACCATGTCGGGCAAAAATGTCAGTAATGAACTTGTTCGCAGCAACTTGAGCAGTGGCTTCTCTCACAGCACTCACCTCGACCCATTTTGAGAAATAGTCCACAAAAACAAGGATATAAGCATTCCCTCTTTGTGTGCGGGGCAGTGGGCCAACATAGTCCACCCCTGCGTACTCCCATGGTCTTTGTGGCTGGATAGGGACCATAAGGCCTGCTGTTTTTCTTTGACTTGGCTTAGTGGTTTGACATGAACAACATGAGACCACATACTTTTTCACGTCAGAGTTCATGTGTGGCCAGAAGAATCTGAAGTGTAACGCAAAGTTATTTAAGGACTAGTTTATTTCAATGGATGAGTTTACTGACTGACGCGCAGAAGAAATAGTTCTTTATGGAGCCTAGATGGTGTGAATGATGAGACCAAAGACTGCAATATCTTGTACCAAAAATATATTGAATAAATAGGGGAAAGGGGAAATGGAACAAAATAATTAATACAACACACAACGTAAATGTCCACAATTAAATAATAAATCAATGCTGTGATTTTTCTGTGCAAGAGTCCTTTTGCTAAGAGTCCTTTTTTTGGTCCTTTTCTTTTTAAAGTTCACTTTTAAGGTATTCCTCCTTAGGGTCCAGCTTCATACAAGGGGGAAATATGTCCGTAATCCAAAGACGGCTAAGTGGGGGAAAAGAGGGGAAAACAAAGAATGGTCCTACCGGCTCGCCACTTCAATATGAAGAAGATCAATTCAAAGGGGAAAAAAAACCTGACCTGTAGGTCAGAAAAATGTCCATTAGCACATCAAGTTCAATTCAGTTTACCGGTAAACAAATATATTCTTCTGCAAGTCTAGGTAACAATGCAAATCATAAATCATCATCATCAATGTACAACAGTTAAATCATTAATCATCTTGGCTACGTAGCTTAATCTATACATTCCAGTAGCGTTCGCTACAAACAATACAAAAACAACAATAAAGAAAAACAACTGTCTAACAGACAGCATAGCCGAATTCAAGGCAACACATAACAATAATCATTCAATCGCACTTTGTTTCAAAGTAAGCCCATAAAAATGCTTAAGTAAACAGAAGTGTTCAAAAACAGCGGTTTTTGAACCGGAGTTCTGCTCGCGGTGGGAACGCTGCCGCACAAAGTCATTTTTTAATCGCGAAAACGATCGGCTGGTTACTGACAACCAAAGGTTGAAAGATATTAAGGACACTTACCGCTGAGTTTAAAGTTTAAAGATGAATTGAGGAGAGAAAACGCTTTGTTTTCCAATACCGCTCTAAATGCCATAAGCTCACAGCCACAGCAGGAGTCGAACCCGGAAGTATCCCTCCACAGCCGGTTTTCAGAGTTGCCGCGACGTGAAAGGAGCCAATCAGAAGAGGGACCTCAAATCAGTTTTTGCAATGCCCAGATGTCCGGCTGTAGGATGATCGTGGTAATACTTGAGCAGATAACCACGGAGTGTAGTAGGAGCAAACAGTTTAAGCTGCTTGAGTGGGTGGAGACCACATTTTGTTTTTGGGTCGAGGAAATAGAGGAGACCATCATGTACAACATACTTTTCCAGATCTTGATTATCCTCCCCAGTTTGTTGGTCACTCTCCAGCTGATTGAGCAATGAGCCTGTGACTGGGTCCTCAAGCTGCAGTTGACGAACATGCGGGCGGTCTGAAACAATTACAGAAGGCAGAGCACGAAGGTCCATGCTCCCAATCACGGCATAGGGAGGGAGAAGATCAATGGGGGCATCCACATCTGGTAGAGGATTACGGGAAAGGGCATCGGGCACCTTATTACGTTCTCCAGGTTTGTGGATGATGCTGAAGTCAAAGTCTTGAAGGCGCAGAGACCACCGAGCAAGCCTGCCAGAGACACTTGAGGCTGCTGTGGTCGGTGTAAATGGTTACGTGCAAGCCTTCGACATAGGGTCGGAAATGTTCCAAGGCCCAGATCACGGCCAGACACTCCTTCTCTGGAGTTGAGTAGGGCTTTTCCGATTTGTGCATAGCCCGGCTAGCAAATGCTACAGCAACGTCTTTGCCATCCTCATCTTTTTGCATTAATGCTGCCCCAAGACCAGCATCGCATGCATCAGTGTGAATGAAGAATGGACGCGAAAAATCTGGGAACCTGAGGACCGGCGCTGAGGTTATTGAATGTTTCAGAAAGTCCACAGCTGCCTGGCACTTGTCATCCCAGTGAAACTGCACGTCCTTTTTAGTGAGGGCGAAGAGTGGCTCTGCATGGCGGGCATAGTCCTGTACAAAGCGGCGATAGTAGCCAGTTAGGCCAAGGAACAATTTGAATTGAATTGAAATTTTTATTTCAGTCAACAACAACAACAACAACAGATTATAATTTTACATAAAAGTACTCAAACAGGAACCGAAAAAGGAATAGGCTGAAGCCTTATGGCTTATACTTATCCTATCCCTTACCCCCATAGAAATAATCAAATCCTTAACCAAGAAAATAAATAGCATTGATAAATAAGTTGTATAACAGTTTGAAAAGAAATCAATGATAAATCAAGAAATTAAATCAACACAAAAATTTTAACAAACCAAATTTCTATAACCTTGTATAATACTAATTTTTAAAATCTTCCTGAAGAATGACAAAGAAAAACACATCTTCAGTTCATCATTAAGTCCATTCCATAATTTCACTCCCAAAACTGACACACATCTATACTTAACATTGGTTCTCACTTTAGGCATTTCAAACTTATAAGACCCCCTCAAATCATATTTTGCATCCTTAATAAAGGAATTCTTATTCAAATCTCTTGTTTTATAAAGAATAGAAATAGACTTGGATAATTTCGTTTCACATGTTCTATGTGGGGCTTCCAACAAAGTTTATCATCAATAATTACTCCTAAAAATTTTGTCTCATATACTCTTTCAATTTCAACATTATTTAAATTCAATTTTACTTTAATATTACTTTTACTACCTCCAAATAACATAAATTTTGTTTTC